TACTATGATTTAATGCATATGTACTAGTGACTTATTGATTAGTCATAACTGCAGTATGCACTAGTGACTAATTGAATAGATACCATTTACGAATAGAATTAGTAACAATGTGCATGTACTAAAATCTAACAGTAACTTACAACATAAAATAGATACTAGTACTTTTAAGGAATACATGTTTAAACGGCTTCCCATAACCTGACAAACATATCTAGACTACAAGTAACTAAAGGACATGAACATTTGTTTTAATTCTTCTTGTGTGCTGTATTTGTTTGTTTTCTTTTTCAAGAAAATAACATGCACCTTACACTTCCGTATACGTGAAAGGTGTTAACAGCCCTTCATTCTTTCATTTAAATGACAGGTAGAGACCAGTAGAACCTGTCTCCATACGGCTCTGACTGATATTCATGATGAAAATAACAATAAATGTAACGTTAGATAAGCCACGCTAAGGTTCGTCAACACTGATCTACAGCGTTTTGAGCAAAAAGAGCTGTGTCACTGTTGGTTTTATATTCTGTTTCATTTATTTCGCTAACGTTACATTTACTCCCAAATGAAAGACTGTTTCCAGTAGTCAATGTTTATATTACTAGTAATGTTACCTTGATGTTTTAAGCCACTTACCGGTCTATGTAAGATTTAGGATAGGAAGTTTTCTCTTTTCAGGGATTTCCTACTGTACGAAGTCTCTCTGAGTATGTTGACAGTCGAGATATGGTTGCAGGAGGAGACACTTTTCCTCCAGACAGCGTGGCTGCTTGCTCGCTCCCTCCCTCACTATCCTTTCAGCTTTTCCTGTTTTCTCTACGCCGACATCTGACGATGGCCTTGGCTGATTTCTTCTGTCTCTGATTGGCTCTCACCATCCGCCGTGATTCGAGGCCGCGCCCACTTGAACAGTGAACAATCTGTGAACAATTCATCGGACCAGGGTTTGATTGGCTAATTCCGCGCCGCTCGGCCAATCAGACTGGACCATCAGGGGTTTAGCAACGCACCTCAATGACCCGATTGTGCAAGGTGGACTGAAACTGTTTGAGTTTTGAAAGTGAGGATTTCTAAAATTAGTTGTCACAATCATTTCTATTTTGCCAGACAACTAAACAAGCATATCTAGTAATTGCGTCATAGTGCACGCAGAGTCTGGCCACATAATCAGGTCATATTATATTAATTATATTATTTAATTTATAATTACTTAGCCTAACTATGGATTAGCAAGAAGAATGGCACTTAAAATATTACAACAGATAAAGCAAACCAAAGTATTGAAAAGTACAACAACCATTATTGTTATAAAATAATATTCACATTTGCCAACCAAAGATCGAATCATTAATCATTATACAGTGGTGTGAATAAGTTATTACCCCCATGCTAAAGTTGCCTAAAAAGAGGAATAAAAAATCATCTTTTGGAAATTGATCTTAATGCCTTAATTAGAAAAATGAGGAAAAATCCAACCTTTAAGGACACCAATTTTCTTTGTGTATGAATAATGTATCATAAATAAATAAATGTTCTTCCTTAAAATACAGGGTGCATAAGTCAGGCCCCCCCTATGTTAAATTCCCATAGAGTCAGGCAGATTTTTATTTTTAAAGGCCAGTTATTTCATGGATCCAGGATAATATGCATCCTGATAAAGTTCCCTTGGCCTTTGGAATTAAAATATCCCACATCATCATACATACCCTTCACCATACCTAGAGATTGGCATGGGGTACTTTCCATAAGATCATCTCTCAATGCAAATCAAACCAGCTATTAGGCTAACTGAAATAAAACCATGCCAATCTCTAGGTATGGTGAAGGGTATGTATGATGATGTGGGATATTTTAATTCCAAAGGCCAAGGGAACTTTATCAGGATGCATATTATCCTGGATCCATGAAATAACTGGCCTTTAAAAATAAAAATCTGCCTGACTCTATGGGAATTTAACATAGGGGGGCCTGACTTATGCACCCTGTATTTTAAGGAAGAACATTTATTTATTTATGATACATTATTCATACACAAAGAAAATTGGTGTCCTTAAAGGTTGGATTTTTCCTCATTTTTCTAATTAAGGCATTAAGATCAATTTCCAAAAGATGATTTTTTATTCCTCTTTTTAGGCAACTTTAGCATGGGGGTAATAACTTATTCACACCACTGTAGTCTACACAAATTCAGAAGCTTTTAAAGGCAGGCTCCCCAGGCAGCGCAATCTTTCTTTTAAAATTAAATTTAGCTCCATATCTAATGATTAATCTCAGATAAGATCAAAGTGATGCAGCTTCTCAGGTGAATGAATTGGCCTTTACAAAGGGCATTGCAGCACTGGCTGTTGCTAATGCACTGTTTGGCTCCTCTGTCCAAGGCAGCATCAGTTAATGGGTTTGAAGGGCTCCAGCCAAGAGATATGACTCAAGCTGAATTTACAAAACAGACAGTACAGGCTTTAAATATAGAAACATTGCCTTTGATCACTGGATGTCACCAGTGTTTGCAGAAGCAAGACTTTGATAAGTCAGTGTGGAGACCACAAGTTTAACAGCGTGGCATAGGGGGTCAGTGCCAAGCTGCAAGAAAACCATTATAACTATGTGAAAAGTTAGCTTCATATTTGTAATGCAGTGAATTTTAATGATAAATCCATCCATCCATCCAGTATATATATATATATATATATATATATATATATATATATATACACACACACACACACACACACACAGTGGCTTGTGAAAGTATTATCCCTTCATTTTTTTTCACACTTTGTTATGCTGCATGCCTTATAATAAATCTACACTCCATACACCATAATGACAAAACAAAACAAAAAAAGATCTGTGATAACTTTGCAAATGTATTAAAAAGGAAAAACTGAAATAAGTACATTGCATAAGTTTAACTCACTACTTAGTTAAAAGCACCTTTATGGCCTCGAGTCTTTTTTGGGTATGATGTGACAAGCTTTGCACATCTGCATTTGGGGATTTTCCACCATTCTTTTCCTCAGATCCTCTCAAGCTTTGTCAGGTTAGATGAGGTTGTTCCAAACTTCTCCCATCAAGGTTTATAGAGGCTACATGCGTCTGTGAACCTTCAATGCAGCAGAATAACTTTTGTTTTGTCTTCGTCAGATCTGTCTTAATAGAATCCTGTCTCTGAGCTCTACAGACAGTCTCTTTGGCTTGGTTTTTGCTCTGATATGCATTTTCAGCTGTTAGACATTTATTGAGAGGTGTGTGCCTTTCCAAATCACACGCATTCAATTGTATACTATTTGCCATTAACTCCACTTAAAGTGTAGCAACATCTAGAAGCGAATTTGTAATTATATTTTTTTATAAATTTGCAAAGTTATCACAAATCTGTTTTTGCTTTGTCATTATGGTGTATGGGGTGTATGTTGACAAATAAGTAATTTAAAGTAGTTTAACATAAGGCAGCAAAATAATCAAATGTGAAGAAAGGAAGGGGTTTGAATACATTTGAAAGCCACTGTGTGTGTATGTGTATAGTATATATATGTATGTATTATATATATATATATAAATAAAAGCACCTCAAGCATATTTAGAGAAATGAGACTTAGCAGGAAATGATCACCTTGGAGATATTGAGCATGCTGATACAAACATACTGTCAAGGCAAGTCGTGCATGTCAGAGAGAGATAAATATACGTGGGAGGGCATATTTATATCAAGACTAAACAAACATTTGCTTACCTCTCTGGTTGGTCAACTCACTTGCTGTTAAGCTACATCAGTATGATTACATGGTCTTCCATCTAGATTCTAGAAGCTTTCAGTGGTGACAATCACCACCTACTGGCAAAAGCAGAACACTGACACATTCGTGAGTGAAATAATAATGGGATATGCACTTCTGATGACTGTCAACAACTAAAACTTGTGTATTCACAAGCATCTCAAAGCACAGGAGTCAACATTTGAAGTGGTTAAAAAAAAAAAAAGGTAATCAAAGTTGTCCTAAGACAAGAACAGGTATTGTTCAAAATTCATGTATAACTTTGATGAAAGGTTTTGATCCACTTAAATGTTGACTACTGTAGTTATTTCGCCTGCATTAAGATTTTTAAATTTCCTATGAATGCAGAAACCGGTGCGGATTAGGAACCAGATGTTAGCTGTGGTTACGCATAAACTAATTTTGGGCAAAGGTGGAAACTATTTGAAGAGGAATGAATGAGCATTAAGCCACCCACTTGGTAAATTTATTACACACCCTTAATTAGAACAAGCTAAAGAATAAATTCAATCCCAGAAACATAACTTAAAACAAGAACAAAGCCAAGGTTGTCAGAGCCAAGCACATTCTTTATTAAATGTACAAAAAACAAATGAAAATCAAGGTAAGTGCAAAATTTTGTGCCTTGATATCAGAGACTATGAGAAGCATGGCTTCGGCCATCTAGAAACCTACAGAAGAGGAAGGCACCAGACAGATGCTTGTCACAGTATTTAGAGTGCACATTTTTCAAAGAGAGAGAGAGAGAGAGAGAGAAAGAGATAATTTACTATAACATGTGAATATACTGGATTTATGAAAGAGCTGACCATACAGATATAATGAAGAGAAGCACAGGCATGTCTTATCCGACGTCATGGGCTGTAAATTCAAAAGAGGTCTCCGATGGTTTGACCAACACTGTGTAAACGGTAAGACAGTTTAGGAAAATGTTCACAGGGACAGACATACACACTTTAGCATAGAAACGTCACAGAGAGTATGTAGTCTTACTGGATAAAAAGAAAAACCTTTGTAAATATTACATGATTGAAAGGAAGAATAATGTGGGTTGTTTTTTTTGCAAAAGGCACACACACACCTGATCACTATCAGAGGAGTGAGAATATAACAACTGTGCAGAATGAATTCTTGGAAATGATCAGCTCCACAAAGGCAGAAGAGAGAGACACCAAAGAATCACATACTAAACTAACAGATTTATACTCAATGCCAAGACACCCTGTGTTGAAAGATCAAAATGCTCTTTATTTCCTGAAATAGAAGATCTAAATGTAAATTTAGAATGAAAATCTTCTAAAATACAGCAAAACCAGCCTCAAACTGAATTTGAAGGCAGTTCGAACCATGTTTCTGGACTAATCAACAAGAACTGAGCTTGGACAGAGTACAAATCAGTAAAGTTGTGCTAAATCTAAGTGTTCTACATGAGTCACGTGTAAGGAAGACCAATCGTGAATGTACCTGTGTAAAGGGAACAGGGATGGTGTGGCGGCCAAACAGCCGTGTGAACTAGCTCCTAAAGCAAAGTGAACTTTCCAGCAGAGTGAACCATGACCTTAAGGCAGATACTAAGGCCTCGGAGCTTGTGTTGCCAGGAAAAAGCAAAAAAGGCACCAGCTAAGAGAAACCCGGGAGCCAGCAGGCCGCTTTGGAACGTCTGGTCTCACAGTGCCTGCCAAATCAACCCAAGCCATCCCTGTGCACACACTAAAGCTGCGAAACATACACGCAATCCACCTACACACATGCAAAAACACAACATCATCCTCAGCCAACCGAGGGCCAGAGCCCTTAGGAAAAATGTCTTCTTTCCCCTCTCTCCTCCTCCTCACTTTCCGCTCACAGGATGGTACACTTTTTCTTTTTCTTCTCTCCATCCTTTTTGCCCTGGTCACTGGTAGGCTTGTCTTCAGAGAAGCTAGAGTAGGTGGTGTCTGCGGTAATCGGTTCCCTCAGGGCAAGGAACCAACGGCCCTCGTTCAGGTAGGACAAAGTGCCCAACTCCATCTCGACCTGGGTGCCCTCCTTGCCCTCTTTCTGCAGAGCCAGGATATCCAGCAGATCCAAACCGGTCTGAACCGACTCCACGCCAGCAGAGCAGCCTAATGTGACGTGGGCACGGCTACCCACTGGGAGAGACTCAGCGCTGGGCAGGAGGGCCGGAGGAACGCCATCCTTGTCCGCTCCCTCAGGCCACAGCTTCATCTGGGTTTCTGTCAAAGCCACACGGGCCCCAAACGTACGAGGGGTCACTATGAGGGCAGTGACTGAGAGCTCATCAGACTTGCCAAACGAATCTTTGACTACCTGCAAGAAAAATGATGGTCAAATAAGTACTGTATATTTTGGTAGGACTTTACAATAGTTAAATGTGTTAACATTAATGCAGTTGGTTTCATGAACTAACAATGAATAACAATTTTACAGCATTTATTAATCTAGTCATTCACACATGTATCCATATACACCGACACATTCCCACCAATGGTATTTGCATTTGTTTCCCCATACTTGCACATGTATTACTTACAAAATACTAACTTGTCTTAAACTGTTTATTTTACATCGGTTATATATACTTATTAGCACTGTGGTCAAATATTGTTCTGTTTATTTGTGCTTTATAAATTAATGAAATTACAAAGGTTTTAAATGATTGATTCCAGCTAATATTATAATACTGTAATATTTTATATAGTAAAAAATATTCAGCCAGAGTATTAGTTAATGGCTGAAAAACTGACCTGTAGCTCTGCATACTCTTTTGCCCCCTCTGCTTTGCCATAGTCACAGAACTTTGTAGTGCAGTGGAGGGGCAGTGCATTCTGGAAGTACTGCTCAAGGTCCACCTCTTTCTCTGCCTCACCAGTAACTGGGAAACCAAAAACAAAGTCAGCAACATATCCACAAGCCCTGAGAAGAATCATGTGTGTGCGTTTACACAGGCAACTCACATTCACTGATGTGTTCTTTGAAGGCCTCCAATGTGTCCAGAGTCTTGAGAAAGTCCATGGTTGCACACTTAATTCGCTCCTCTTCCTCTGGAAGCAGGAACCAGCCAAAGAAGAAAGGCAGTTCTGGCTCTTTCTGCTGGGTCTCGGCCTCTTTTGGAGGCTCGGCTTGAACCCCATCAGCCTCTGGTTGTGGTACCTTATCCTCTCCTCCTTCTGTCTTAGTCACCTCACCTTTATCAGATTTTTCAAGCTTGGCTTCATTCACAGCAGTGGGTTTGGACTCTGGCTCTTTGGCAGGCTCCTCTTTCACAGCTTCTTCCTCCTGCTTCTCGGGTACGGAATTCACTTGAACCTGTGGCTCCTCAGATTCCTTCTGCTGTTCTGGCTGAGGGAGTTTCTCCGATGACTCGGCAGCTGGGGTTTCCTCGGGAGATTTCGCTGGAGCCAGCTCGGGTTCAGATAGTTTGGCAGGAGGCGCTTCAGATTCTGTCGCTTTCTCCTTTTCTGGCAATTCCCCAGCAGAATGCTCCATCTCAGGGGTTTTCTCCTGCTCAGAGGCCGCTTCTGGAGGACCTGCTGCTTCTGAAGGTGCCTGAGCCACCTCTCCAGACTTGGGCTCCAGTTTCTCCTCTTGCTGCACTGCCACTTCCTGTGTCTCAGCAACAGCCTCTGGAACTTCCTGATTCTGTTCAGCTTCCATTGCTACACAGCAGGCCGCTTCTAAAAAACAAGACAAGTTTGCAATAGTGAGTGTGAATGCATTTTTAAGGGAGACCACAAACAAGATGAATTACATGATCTGAACTACATGCAAATGTTAACAAAGGGTTAAATGACAGGCAGCTCCAGGAACGCTTGGTTCAGATTAACAGAAACTCACAGCAAGCCTGTCTTCCAATTGCCCAGAAATGCAAAGCAATATACACCTGAACATGGTAGTTGAAACGACAACTTCTTTAGACCCTTCACAGCACATAGGCTCTAGGAAATTTCAATTTTACAACTTCATATTTCAGTTCTACAACCTCTGTACGGAGTCCAGCTCTTGTCCTTCTAAGCAAATCTGGAAACCACTGCTCAGTTTAGACCAGTGCACATTCGAATTCATATGAAATAAAACACCACAGTGCATTTCTTGTGAAATTTGAGAAGCCATCAGACTACCAATGCAAGAGCTGCTTTTTCTCTGGCTTACACATTACTTTGCTTTTTATCTACATTTCTCTTGGTCTCATATCTTTAACTCTTAAAGAGGCCTAAAGAAACCCACAGAAACTGTAAGCTGGAAGACTTCAGTTTCAATGATACTCAGTTCGCACCATCATATAGCAGTCTTCTAAAGTAGTAGTTGCTAGATTTCAGAGTAATAAGCGGAAGTACAGCTGTAGCCCAGATACATGAAACAGTCACCCAATGTCAAATGACATGCTTTTATTGTGAAACCAGTTGTCATCATATTTTGGACAACATACATCTGTTCCCCATTTTAAATGGAACTATGCAAATCTTTAGAGCTTAATCAAATGACAAACCTATCAGCCAGACAAGACCAGTCACATCTCATGGGTTTAAAAGGCACCCATTACGTACACTAAATAACACAAACTCTTCAATGCAGATGCAGAGGCTGGATTTTAAAAAAGCAAGGCTTTAATTTAACCTTGGCCACGGTCCAGATACTGATGAAAAGTGTGTGAAAAGCAGAAGCTGGGGCCTGTTTTACAAGAGCCCAGCAGTGAGCCATGAGACACAAACACCTGCACATAATTTGGGCCACTTCTTTGTGGCTGTGCCTAACTATCAAGTGAGCTCCCTACTTAACAGTATTTCTAGGACGCAAACACATTCTGAGTCATTTCAATGTGTCTGATTCCCAAAATGCTGTCAAGGTAGGCAGCTCACTGGATTTTGATCCGCACCCTTTGTGTGATCAAATTAGATTCGGGCACGCGACCTAATCTATGGAAGACAAAGAAAACCCAAAACGCCCTAGATTCACTTAGACAGTAGCGACGAATCAAGCAGAGGTCACGCGACACACGCATATAACTGTAACGTTACTTGATTTAACGACATTGAGCACACACATTTTAGATAACTTGGTGGCCAATTTGTGCGCCGATTCAAAAGAAACGCAAACTACACTTCATTCAACGAATCTCTAAATCTACAGAAGCTTGTAAATGAATATGATGAAATAAGCGAACTCCGTTAATTAGCGGTAACAATGTTAATCCAGGGATTCGGGGAGTGGCAGTGCCCGGCCACGCTGCATGCAGACAAAACAAATCAGCGTGGCAATGCCTCGCGCAGCTGGAAAAGAAAGCACACCACAAACACATTTTTTGTTACATCTAAACCCTTTGTTTATTTTCGACTTGTATAAACATAGATTTGCATAATCAAACTTATTGGTTGCAAATATGATAAACAAGATTAAAAATGTAATAGTCAGCGCACAGCGTAAATGCAACTCACTTGATTACAACGTTGGCAGATGTATGAAAAGCTGTCACCGTTTCCCGAGGCTAATGGTTCAAAGCACCGTACAGCCAAATTCCACGTTTGTCCAGAGCGCTGCGCTGAAAACCCCCGCCTGGCCGAGCACTAGCAATAATCAGGAAACAAAACGGAAACCACTGGCTCTTGAGCACGCTCCCTGCGTGCACGAGAGCGCGGCCACGGAAGGGAGAGGCAGATAATACAGAACAGAGGCAAATTTTAAGCGCGCTCCCGCTACTGCTGTGTGTGCACGTCACCAGCCTTTTTTTGACATCTTACTGCTCATTTTTACGTCTCAAATTATCATATGGTTTAATTCCTACATTATTACAATTCCATCTTAACTTTAATTTTGTAACAATGACAACTCTAAATAGGCTACTGTAAATCTCTTAACCCCGGTTTCACAGACAAGGTTTAAGCTTAGTCCCAGACTAAAATTCATGTTTGAGCTGTCTTAACTGAAAGCGACTTACACTGGCATATCTTAAAATAAACAGTGCCATTGTTTTGTCTCAAGATACATTCCAGTATTTTTTTTTTTTTTTCTAAGGCATGTTTATAAAAGCTACTTAAATGTCCTAATTGAACTAAGGCCTAATCCTGGCTTAATCTAAGCAGTCTAAAACTGTTAGTAGAGGGTGCGAATCAATTATGTGTTGCGAGGGTCACATACAGGGCAGGACTGAGGACCCCTGGGTTTGAGTTTATGTTTGGGCCCTATGACAACAACTAGAACATCATTATGGAGTAGCACAAACTACACAAAAATTTAAATATGCTTTGAGGTTCCTAGATCAATTAATATGCAACATGCCTAGCCTTGTCAAAGTTTAGAGGTAATATTAAACATTGCAATAACAATATTAAAATTAAATACAATAAAATACATGAGATTCTCTCTCTGTTGAAAGATCAAAACCATGAAATAGCCTAACACTGAGCATTAAAGCCAAAGGACAGTGTTTTTTAATGCATTGTGATATTTGTGTCCTCTTATGTCAGATTCTTAATATTTAATCAATAAATTCAATCAGAATTAAAATACACCTCAATCAGAATAAACCTACAACAACAGTAAAATGAACCTGATGAGGCAATTAGTGAGACAACAGCAAACCACCACTTGCTCCACACACACACACGCACACACACACACCAAGTATGAACTTGACTTCTGGCAGACTCAAAGGGAATATGAGGATCGTCAGATTATACTATAATGAATACATGCCAATTACATTTTCAAAGTATTAATTTCCATTGTGCATTTTAACATTTTTGAGGTTTTGGAAAGATTAAAAAGGATCCATAGGCACCTATTATTCTTTGAATGTATGCTTACAGATCTGTTGTACAAGAGCATACCTAGCAAACCTGAGTGCATGTTACGTCTTGCTGATGTCTGTGAGGGACGTGTGAAATGTATGAAGGGCAGCTGAGTGGTTATGCGCTTTGACATTGCACTGACAGGATTTGCAGTTAAGAATCGCTGCTTCAGCTTATTGTAGAGCTCAGCACAAATGCAGGTTGGCTGCGACCACTTTCTCACAAGTGTTTGTGGTGTGTTTACGTATTTAGCAGATGTAACCCACACAAATTGGCAGCAATTCGTATACGCAATCTGTCAGGGCATTATACTTGTGTTCATTTTTGTTGTGTTAAAGTCAATATCGACTCAATAGATGGAGTGTAAACTTAATCAGAGGTCAAACCTAAACTCATTTGAATGATTTTCAATTCAAACATGTTTGGATTATGAGTATTTCTCTTTATCAACAGAAGGGCACAGCACAAGTGTGTGTCTATAGCAAAACATTAACAGTATCTGGGCAACATCGCTTGGACACTGCATCACAAATATCAAACATGATTTGTTATAACTGAAACTGTGACAGTCTGTTTATGTAAAACTATGCAAAACATATTTTTACCATATGCAAACAAGCACAGTGAAGGCAGTCATAAAGTAATCCTTAACCAATGACACCCTAATGCAATCCAACACAATGTTCCTCAGGCAGATTTTATTCCACTAGTAAGGATGCATTAGTTCTGACTTGTCTTGGAGGTGGATTGCAGACATTTTATTCAGATGGGTTTCTCTTCTTACTGGGTCACTCTGTGTCTTGCTTCACGAAGAGCCTGCAGGGCGAGAAATTGACGAGTTGATTAAAGTGAGTCAAATAATAGCAGAGCAACATGAAGAAATATGATATTAGAGCAACGGGATAGTCAAGAATCAGGTAACATGCAAAAAAATGAAAACTGATCAATGAATGCATGTAAATATTGCAATTATCAGTTCAGATATTATGACAAAACAACTTGTATTGATAAGTATTCTGTCACCATGTACTAACTACGCACAACACAACAATATTCCAGTGACGCATTGCACGCAATGTAACATTAGAACAGCTGTTTTCCTGGAATAAAATTAAGACGTTTTCGTAACTTTTTATTTTCGTGACTTCTAAAATGCTTCTCCAAGCATAATCTTTGTCATTGCTTTCCTTACGAAAGTCACGGTGGTTTTGTCATATAATATAAGCTAATATTTCTTAGCTTCCATAATCAATCTCCTTTTATCCACTTTTAATGTTTAATATGCACAAGCCCCACGGGGTGATACCATAGAAGTAGAAACTAAGCGAAAGACAAAATATAGTATGGCTTGACGGAGTTGCCTGACCATTTAAATGAGTGACTAACAGTTTTAAAGGGAATTCTACAGGATAGACATTGCAGAATATTACAACCCAGACTTGCAAGGTGTGAGGCTTTAGGTGTGGTCACATTAGCGAAATTCGGCAAAATTTTGCTGGCAAAAAAGGTCAGTTGTCCATTGTCAGCAGCGATGTATGAAGCATAGGCTCACACTTTCAAACCAAGCGTGACCAATATAAACCCAATGCAAAATCTGCATAGGGGAAATCTTTTGCCCTCGCCAAATTTCTGATCGCATGGATTCTAATTGAAATGACTGGAATTTGCCTGCAAACATTTGCCAAACAATGGTAAATGTGACCGCACCTTTAGTCAAACTGACAATAACTTCCATATTGGTCCTCTGTGACATACACAGAAACAATAGCGTGCATCCTGTGTGATTTAGAATCTCAGTCATTTTAATGTAGTTTGAAGGGGACTATAGAAAAGGCCGCGAACGAGATGGATGGTGAGAGGGATGAGGGAGAGAGTGAGAGAGCAGGATAGGAATGTCTGTGTTGACCTTCTGGATGGCTTCGCTGGCAGAGTCGTCCTGCAGCAGTTTTGCCCGGTCCAGTGCTCTCTCAAAGTGTAACACACTGGCCTTGTAGTTACCCAGCTTCACTATGTAAGAGAGAAAGAGGATGTAAAGTGATCTAATCGCACAGCATGGCGTAGATCAAATATACATAACGACCACATTAACTTCCTATTGATTCTGAGCATTGTGGGAAATCAGATTATTCATGGTCACAGAGTGCATTAAACTGCTGACTTCCTGGGATTCTGGGCGATGTAATTTGGACTCACATTCGGCCTGCGCAATGAGCACACTGGCATTGAGCTGCCATTTCTCATCAGTGATGTCATCCGCTGCCGTGAGAGAGCGGGAGCCATAGTCTCGTGCTTCGTTGTAGCGCTTCAGCTCAAGGTAACAGCGGCCGATCTCATGGAACAACCAGGCTTTCTCTAACCCGCCACATGCTAAAGGCACCTTCTCCTCCCAGCTATGCAAACACACACATAAACACACACAGAACAAAATGAAATTACTATTACAATAGACTTGTCTGTGTACATCAACACCAAAGTAAACTTTAATTAAAGGCAAATGCACTTACACTTCTATAGCTTGTTGGAACTTGCCAATCCGTGCGTACACACGGCCAATGTTGTCCAGAGCCCTGGATTTACTGTCCGTCAGGTCGCTATGACACGAAGCACAAACCAAACACACCTGATGAATAGTAGTTTATTAACCAACCAAGAAAAACAAAAGGTAGTTTTCCTGCTCTTATGAGCGCTCACCCTTTCTTGGCCAGCTCCAGATCTTTCTCATGATGATGCAGAGCCTTGTTCATATTCCCAAGATCCATCAATGCATTGCCTACACAGAACATAAAAGAACATTTTGTATCTCTGATTCTTGTGCTATTGATATTATACATTTAAGTATTGGGCAGATGAGATTCCCAGACTCTACCAATGCAGCTGTGCAGGTTCCCAAGCACTTCTCTCTTATTGGGCAGCACCTGCTCAGACCATTCCTTCACCACCTTTATGAGCTCACGGGCCTTCTTCAGGCCGCTTTCTGCATTGCCGGCACTCAAGGCTGCCAATTAAACAAATAATTCTCAATAAACCCAATAACATACAGAACATTTTCTGAAAATGTTTGCCCATCCAAAAGTCATGCGATACCAGAGTGTTGCGAAGATTGTTTCTATGAGTCTATAGGATTTTTTGGCCTGTTTTATTGTCCACCAGGCAAGCCAAGTCACCAAATTAATAGTAAAATTTCACAGAAGTCATTTTCAAATCAAGCAGTTTTCTGTTAGTCAACGTGGTGAACCCATGTGACAAATGTGAATCTCCTGTGAAATTTGTTTCGCCCTCATGTGAAATTCCAGAATGTGTGGACTGGATTCCCATTGAAAAGACTGGATTTTGCCCACAAAAATCTGCTGAACAACAGTAAATCTGCAGCAGCTTTATAAAACTAATGGCACTTCTCAACAAGTAGCAGAATTTGATGTATTGTTCATGTCCATGGCACAGATGGTACAGTACAGTTATGTGCCAAAGTTTCATAGTTTTATTTAGGGGTTTGTTCAAATGTCCTTAGCAAACACTATTAACTTTTATTAATAAAATTTAAATAATCAGCTGGATCATGTGTTATGTATCTGGTCTGCTAACACAAACATTGTGGAGTGACCTAGAGAATAATTAGGATCATAATTCCAACATTATCTCCAGGTTGTCATAGGTCAGTCACTCATCAGTTAGCTAATAATCATACTAGGCATACATTGCAGTTCAAAAGTTTGGGGTCGGTAAGATTTTTCTTTTTTAAAGATAAATAAATGAATCTTTTATTCAGCAAGGATGCATTAAATTGATCAAAAGTGACAGTACAGACATTTATAATGTAACAAAA